AGTATATAGTCCCCCCATCATAAATTAAGCATGTCAAGTAAAACGACTAGCTTTTACAAAATCTAAGTTATAATATGGATAGCTAGTGTAAATCAATCAGAAAAGGCTCAGTTTTGTTGTGGGGGCGCGATTGTCAATCCATCAAGCAGACGTTTAAGACTTTCTTAGATGCAAACACACAAAAGAAGTTGAAACAACATTTTGGTGTACTTGTATATATTGGGATAGAAATGCACGAAAATAAAATTAAACAGAATATTCGCAACCGAGTGCTAAATACAATCCAAACAAACATCTCAACACAAAAAGAGGCATAAAAAGTTTCCAAAATAAGAACATTTTCTCAATTGTACTGCATTTTATGAACATCTCACAAAGTATTCGTGAGATAAGAGTTATTTGATATTTTCTTTAGTTATAATATATGTATATATTTATGAATCCACATCGAAAACTGAATTGATATTGCACCCGGATGTGAATCAAACTATCGTATGTCGAACGAATGTCTATCGAACAATACTATTCAGCCAATAAATGATTAAAAACAGTTATATTACTTATTCTTTGCAATCCTAATTATATAGAGATTTTTGTGTTGTTTTCTTATAATTAAAGCGTTAAGTTCAACATCATTACACTTTCGTTATTTTTTAATCCAGGAGTGCGTAAAACAATTATTTTTTGTAGTCTTTTGAGCTCATTTCAGTATTTTCAATATTCCAGAATGGGTATCTCTACATATTGAGGATTAAGAAGAGTAGGAACAGTATTGAGTGTCGTTCAATTCCAATTGGGAACCATATGTTATTGGGAGCATAGTACGAGCAGGTCGGTAATTCTAATAAGCTGTGTTATTTTCTAAATCTTGAGTATCTCCTATCTAGTATCTAGTATCTCCATGAGAGAAATGATTGATCCAGAGCAATGAACCTGCTCTTCGGTTTTCTTCTCTTCCTCATCTCTACGGCTTCTGCAGAAATCATTGGAAGTTGATAATCTTTAAAGATTATTCCTTCAATTATTTTATTCTCCAGAGCATGGGGTCTAATAAAAGGTGTGGATACAATGAAAAGGCGTGCAACAACAGCAAAAACAACAACACTTTCAATTTATTTAACATCGTGCTGTCGTGTATTTAAGCCACTTTTAGGCAAAAGCAATTAAAATTCGGATTCTGATCGCAATGAAAGTAATGCGCGTGTGCGTATCCATATCTATAGCTACGTGCATGCATGTGAGCAACCTCACAGATACTCTCCCAACAGCCCAAGCTGACGACTACAATGTGATGTTGTTGTGGTTGTTGACAGTGCGTGCGTGTGTGTGTGTGTGCGTGTGTGTGTGTGTTTGTGTGTATGCGCAGCAACTTTTAACACATTCAGCTCAAAAATAAAAAACAACTATTAAAAGTATAAAAATCTCGTCGCTGCTGCTAGCGCTCCCCGCCAACCGCCAACCGCTCCGCCTTCCATCCTCTGGCCTGAGAAGCTGCTAAGGCTTGAGTCGCTCGCATCTGCACGAACACAAAGTACAAGTATCTGTAGCTTTCTGAGTGCGCGAACACGGCCTGGCAGAGCAGGCAGGCAGAGCAGACAGGCAGGCCGGCAGACTGGCTAACAACAAAATTCATTTTCAAGTTGCCTCAAATTTTTGGTGCGTCCAGTTTGCCGCAGATTTTTTTTCCAGCTTGAGAAAATAAAAATTGATTCTAGAACCAGTTTTTGGTAGCTGCCTTCTTGCCTTGTTGTTGTTGTGCAAGCTGCTATTTACTGTTGTTGTTGTAGTTGTTGTAGTTGTCTTCTTGCTTATTTTTGAAATATCTTCGCCTTTGACGTTGTTGTGTGTACTTGTTGCTGCTTTTTTAGGCGTTTTCTTAGCTTGTTTTTTGTTTTTGGGCAACTCGTTCGTGGCTTCCTTTTCAACGCTGAACAGATTGTTGTTGGCTTCTTGAGCTTTTTGTTTCTTGCTGTTTCTTTACTATCGTTACTGCCTGCCTGCATGCCTGTCTGCCATACATTTGTCCGTTCAACAATTTTTGTTGTTACTCCTCGGATGTATACTTATAACGATTTTTCAGCTTTCGTTTTCGTTTTATCGACAAGCTGCAGCGGCAGCGGCAGCGGCAGCTTTTGAAATGGTCCATCTCTCAGATATTTTTTCCTATGCACATAATTACGAAAATATTTCGTATAAATTATACATTTGTTAAGGTTAGGCGGCATTGGAAAGTTATGCGTCGTTCGCTTTGTTGACCAACAAATCAACAAACGAACAAAACAAAAAGTTCATCCAAAGCGAAAAGTAAAAATTTCTAGACAACTTTGATAAATTTGCATGGCATTATGGCATCGTTGTAGTTATTCATTAAAGGCATTTCATCTGAAGTTCCACAATTTCCTATAAGCGTCTTGTACGGCCTGTACACGAAGCCTCAAATGTTTGTTAGATTGTGGAGAATGCGTGTAACCCCCAAAAGTACATATGGTGGACCCTCAAAACTGTTAGTATAGAAATCGTTAAAAAATACTCCTTATTTGGTTTGCATATACTTGTATTGTTAAGAAAAGTTGCGCTGAACGGTATAAAAGGTTCGGAGCGCCGCACATACATAGAATTGATTAAGTAGATAACCTTGACAAGATGAAGTGCTCACATTATAAAAAACCATAATTCAACAGCAGCGCAGTATTTAAAATGTTGGAGCCTGTGTGTAACTCGCTTGCCAAATAAAATACAGAAGTTAACAGTTTTTGCAAAATGAACTATGATAGTAAAAACTATAAACCTTTCTATTGTGTCTGGATTTTTATGCATTCGCGTATATCTCTCTCAGCCAGTGTAATTGTTTAACTTTTCACATGCCACTCAAAATGAAATAGGTATAGTAATTGCGCAGTCGAAAACTAAACAAATGAATGTGCAGTGGAAATGCTGGGAACACAGACTTATTTAACAAAAAATGATGAAGTGATAATATATTATTGCTAAAGAAAACCTCGTTCTCAATTGTGACGCCGTAATAGGATATTTAAATAGGAAAAATAAATAAAATGCTTGGACTGAATGTGCTTTGTTCTAAATCTCTTAACTATATTAAAACGATTTTGAATTCTTTAAAAATGCAGTGAGGCCCGCTTAAGTGTCTGTGGAATTGCACAGGCTGACCGTGATCGGTCCGAGCTTTTTAAATGCCTTTCCAAAGACTATTGTTAAAAGATTCTTCTTCTTTTATTTATTTTTGGAATTGTAAAATAAATTAGTAAATACTCGTATGATAAGAAAGTGTGATAAAACTTTATGAAGCAAGTATTCGAATCAGAGAAAATGTGTCATTGTTGTAAAAAACTCGTAGTTAAAAGCTATCGAGAACTACAAGTGCCTAATTTTTAGGCAGAGATAGCGAATCACTTAACTCTAAAGCTGACTTCTAAATAAGTTGTTCAAAGTGTGTAAAAATATTGAAACGTGTATTTTAAGTTCGGAAATACCCAAAAATATCTTGAATGGTATTTGCATAGATTAAATGTTGGTGACAAGCTCAGAACTTTATGTTGCTGGAACTCCGTCCGAGTTACAAGCGCTAAAAATTAACACATCTAACACATCAATGTACTAACAAAACCCAAAAGAGTTAAAAGCAGAAACCACAAGAGAAAGATGGTGGGGGGTTACCAGCTACACGCGACAAAAATGCACAACAAGAAATCAGGTGAAGTAAACCGGTGAACTAATAATAAAAATAAAAGTTTATACGCGACTTACAACGAAACCAGCTTTGGGAGCATAACTGAAATACCAGACTCACATGAACGTGGGCCGAGGGGCTATTGACTGCTTGCCAAGCGGCGCTTAACCGCCGAGTGCCCCACGACGACACGCCTGCGCCATGAATAAAGCAAACCAACAATAAAAAAAAAGAAACCCCGAGCGACTAAGCAACATTTTAAAAAGCGAATTATGAATAGCGTGAAGTACGCAAACGATCAAAATAGAAATAAAATTCGCATGCAATTCGTACTAAAAAAAAATGTAAGAAAACAATGCTGTCCTCGACTTAGCGAGCCGTTGACATACCCTTCCAACCTTTGCGTGCATTTCCAGTTTCACTTTTAAGCAAATAAAATAGATTAAAATTTGTTTGGTAACTTGAAGAAATAAAAAAATTTGAATCATTAGCAATAAAAAGTAGTGCTCGTAGAAGGAACGTTTTAAATCAAGTGGCTGTTCTGCAATTAAATTGCATACTTCACTGTTAATATGACTAGAGACAGATGAATAGATCGCCCCTTTGGCTATTATCTTTTTTGCTATGCCTCTTTTTGTGTAGGGTATGCACAATGCTAGCTAAAAATGGCCTTATGCAAGACCTGAGAGTTGCACGCAGCCAAGTCGCGTACGCGGACGTCAGCCAGAGCTAGGGACAGAGCGGAGACGGGGCTGCGCGAACCGGGCTACGACGGTAATACAACACTAGACACCAGAGCTGCGGTGCAAAAGGAGCCGCAGAGAAAATAAAATAAAAACAATTATTATGTAAGTTGTTGCTATAAAGAGCGCGACTGTCGTTAACAGCGCACATCGTGATTTTTTTCATTTTTTGCGCTTTTAAAACAATTTAAACATTTTATTACATATTTAGTTTGTCTGATTTTGCTTCAAGATTGCGTGTGTCTTTTCAGTTATGGATACTAGTAAATTGTTATGGCAAATGCATTTGGGTACGTTTTATGAGCGTTTTATTGATTGTTTTGTATTATTCAATAAACAAAATTGTTTTATTTTTTGCAAACTAATAGAATTTAGTCCATGGTTGTGAAAATAAATTAGCAGAGGCATTGGACAGCACCGCCCGCCAAACTGTTCAGGACTCTAAAACTGTGACAACTGAAATTGCGATGTCAAGGCTACGCACGCGCAGTTTGACATTTTTTTTTTTTTTTTTTTGTTACACTTCAACCGTAATTTCAATGCGTTCGCTTTGCATTTAGCCGACTTACCGCTAATATAACCAAATGTTGTCTAGTAGTTGAGGCTGCTGTTGGCAAATTGTTGTTGTCCCCACTCTTTTGTATGCAATACTCTGCTCCTCCTTGTCAAAAAACTGCACGCGCGCGGCGTTAAGGCAAAAATTGCACAATAACAAATAACAACCTGACGTTGTTGTTATTGTTCTTCTTTTTGTTTTCGCTGCTTCTGCTGCTGCTGCTGCTGTTGGCGACGTCGTTGTCGTCGAGTTGTGTTAATAAATACACACAAAAATTTAAGCCTTACTTATTTTTAATGAACCTTTTCGCGAGCCAATGTGGATGTGTGTATGTATAAGCATGTGTGTGCGTGTGTATTTTGCATAAGTCGAAATCAATCAAAAACAGCAACAACAATAACACTCTGGTAGTATGTGGTAGTAGTAAATTAACTTGCGAGCGTAGTGAGCGTGGCACTTTTCGATTATCGCGAGAGGGGGAGTTTGTGTGTGTGTATGTATGTGTTGGAGCGCCCGTAACAATTCTTCGTCCGTTTTATCGTTAAAAATTCACGCGCTATCGGCGTTTTAACGTTTTCGCGGGTAAATTGTAACTGATTGTGAACCAACGGCGCAACTTTAAAAAAGCCAACAGGTGAGCGCACTCGGCAATTCAAACTTGAAATGAGCATGAGTGCGCGCCATATGAGAGCCAAGAGGGAGAGGGTGAGAGATAAGAGTCAAGCATTGTGAACAAATCCGTTGTCGACTTTTAGGCTGAACTCTTTGAGAATCATACGCATTTAACACTGTAGAAAAACGAATTTCCTTCCTTCTGGGCGTTACAGAAATTCGAACAATATTATACCCTTTAAACTTTGAATTAAAATGCAGTTGTGGTCTCTTCTTAATATTTGAAAGGGAACTTTAGACGATGAAAATGGTTGAACTCTTAGGATCATACTCATTTAACACTGTAGAGAAACGAATTTCCTTCCCTTTAAACGTTGATTTAAAATGCAGTTAACTGTTGTTGCCTCTTCTTTATATTTATATTAGACAATGGAAATGGGAAATTTTAGTGGTTGCATTTCGAATGGGGTTGGGCTTTGTATGGACTACGCAATTGTAAAATTCCTTCCTTTCTCCTATTCTTTCTTAATTACGGCATCATGTACCAATGACCATTTAAAAAGCATATTATTTAAACTGATAGCTACTCAGACTCCCTTTAACTTGCAGACCCTGACGCATCCAGACGTTTTCGCCTCTTTCCCACCATGTGTGGGCTGACAACTCCCCTGCCTTGTTCCATTGTCGGCTTATCAGCAATAGCCACTGTTGTTTCCAAGCGAGTGCACCTGTATGGAAATCAATTTGTGTGCTCACTTCCAAGGGATTTGGTATGGCAAGGCATATGGAGACAATATTTTTTTCCATCGAATACAGAACTGTTGGCGATTCTTGGAACAATGCAATGAATATTTCGAAATGAGATACAGCCGTAATACTCGTAATGTTGCGGTGTACAAGGATACAGGCGACAAGTAAACAATCCTTTTATTTCCATCTTTACAAAGGCTTCTTGTATTCACATATAATAATAACAAAAAAGGCAAGATGCATATTCATTCAAAAATATCCAACTTATTTAATGCCCTAAGATACTCATATTACTTTCGAAAGATGAGTTCGATGTGAGACGAAATGAGGGAACTACTTTATTTTAATTGGACTTGAAAATGTTTAGGGATAGAATATGACAAGCCCGACTATTCAATTTGAAAAATTAAAAACCTTTTCTGCAATGCGGCAGTAAATTAAAAATAAAAATTCTCACTTTTTGCCATCAACTGTACTTTTGGGTACATGGACCGTTCCGGGTTGACAGTTCACTTTTTGAATGGTGGCGAACGATGCGGGTGTTTGGGGCTCAGAGAATTTATTTAATTTCCGCATTGCCGATGATGCCATGTGATGCCAAAAAGGTAAACTGGCTACAGCCCGCACATGCATGGGTATAGAAATTTGTGCAATTATAGAGCGCTAGAATAGCCAGCATGCTAATTTAGACATGCGTTGATAACGATCAAATGAAATAGTCAAAGTTCCTCGCCGAGTGTTCTTGGCGCTTCGCTTCAACTTTAGTTGCGTGGCTGCCTCTTATCGCTTTAATTAGTTTTGAAAAAGTTGGCCAACAAGCAGACAAACAAACAAACAGACCAACAACCAGCTGAAAAGCAACCACCCAAGCAAATAGCGACAAAATTGGCTGGCATATTTGGCCAACTGAACGCGTAATGAAATTTTGCAAAAATGTTTCTGCCACAATTTGGTGCATGACACATATGTGTGTGTGTATATATACATACTTGTAAGTACAAATGTATATATATAAATAGATTATTTAGATACTATAGGTACATTAATGTGTGTGCAGTGTCTACAGTTTCATTAGTTCCAGCTACCTTGGGCAGCACAAAGTGGAATTGAAGCAATGGTATTTGCATTAGTCAACGACTTATTTTGCACTTTTTACATTTAATTAAACTTAAACTCAGTTTGCGCCACAAACTGGGGCAGCTGGCCCTCACAGCTACCTACCTTTGTTTATCTCATATACAGAACTCTAGCCGAGCTGGCTGTGAGAATTTCTTTGTTTTTGCCCTTCCTTTGCATGCATATTTATAGGAAATAGCGCAAATCTCTCGCAAATTTAATGCAACTCCAAATGGCGTATACGCGAGTGCAGGGCGATGGCTGAGGAACGAGGAACGAGAGTCCGGTCCAGTGGCTGAGCGCGGAAGATTGAGATTAAGCGAAATAAGCCAAATACCTTTTCGTGAAATTTATATGCACAAATGCAACTGTGCGGCATCTTGAGATTTGGCCGGCAGACGGCTGATAAAAGTTCTGCAACTGCAATAAAATTAATGCAAAACTAAATTTAATCCTTTTCCCATTTGCCTTAAACAGTGAATTGAAGCGCTTGTGAGGGAGTTTGCAAAAAGCTAGCTCTATAATAAATTTATTAAATTTAGCGGAACCGTGGAAATTCACAGATGGCCTCAATATTTGTCTTTTGGCATAAAATACTTTAAAAATTAATATAAAAAAAAATGCAATCAAGAACGTACGTCTCTCTCCCCGACGGGGAATTGAACCCCGGTCTCCCGCGTGACAGGCGGGGATACTAACCACTATACTATCGAGGACGTTGTGTGCGGATTACTTAACCATGCATTTAACTCTTATGGTAAGTGAATCTAATAAACTAATAATCATTCAGACAAAATACATACATGTGTATGCACATATGTACTTATATGTATGTATGTACATATTTTCTATTGTTCATATTTTCAATTTCAATTAACTTACATTGAAATAGTTTAAAGATAAAGATAACATTTAACGATTGGCCACCACTCGATCGTTGTTCCTTTGAAGTGGTAGCATAATTGTATGTACATATGTACATACATATGTATGTATGTATATAAGTTTCCTTAGGTTGCAAGTAAGTAGGCTCAAGTATGTTTAAGTTGGTAGGTTGAACAGGAATGGAACTAACGGAATGAACTTGATTTTAAAAACCGTGCAAAAATCGTTCAATGATTTGAGTAAACTGACAGGGTCACAGAGGCAACTAACGAACGAAGTTAATTTTCAATTTAATGGTGCGCCAGCGTTGTGTGAAACAAAAAAGTTTAAATAAAACGCGCCGTACACTCAAAGAAAAAAAGAGACAGAGAGAGGGCGACTCTCACACTAGCACACATGCGTAATTAACGCCCGTATGCTCGTCACGGTTCTTTACGTCACTCTCCCAACAGACGCTTCTGCCGCATCGCTCCATCTCGCTTACACACCTATAGTAGCATTTCACAATGTATTTATACACCACAGCCTTGGAAACGATCATGCGGGCGTACGAATAAAATAATGAAACAGCTACAAAAAGCAAAGCCTCTTCTATTTTCTGTTCGCCTGATAGTAACATGGATCACTTTATCGATTTTACGAATGAAGAAGACAAAATGCGATCGATTGTGATCTCAGATGGAGGTGGTGAACGGATTTATGTTTTGATAGTGAATAAGAAAAGCAAACAAAAAATGAAAACATTGAGCAAAAACAACATCGAACGAAGTAATACAGTGTGGCTGTTAAAAAATAACAGATCCATAACAAACGAAGTGGGAAACGGGCCGCTCAAACGTTATAATTTAAAGAGTTTCAAAAATAGCTGTAAAACTATATTTAAAATACCGCAGAAAAAAAAAATTTGTCTTGGAGATGCCGGGGATTGAACCCGGGGCCTCTCACATGCAAAGCGAGCGCTCTACCACTGAGCTACATCCCCATATGCCAATCGCGCAGCCAAAACCAAATAAGTTCATCGCTTCATTGCTAGCTAAAATTTGCAATACGAGTTAACTGTTTGATGTTCAATAACATTTGTTAATGTAAAACATACAGACATACACATGTGTACTAACTTATCGTGTTTGACATTAGGTACGGAAAAAAATGCTATTGCTATACGCATTTAATATGAATAATTAATAAAATTGTTTTATTATCTGATCCACTAATAGTGCAAATTAAATTACAACAATTAACACTTGTTTAAAGTTTGGTGTCAAATTTAATTCGTTGGCTACTTACACTTTGTTTTAATATAATAATATAGGAAATATGTATATAATGAAATGTGTTTCGTGAGTGCAAGTATCTGCCTTTGAAGAATTCATATAACCATGTTTGCCATATGTCCGAAGATGACCTCATGGGGATGTAGCTCAGTGGTAGAGCGCTCGCTTTGCATGTGAGAGGCCCCGGGTTCAATCCCCGGCATCTCCAGAAGTATATATTTTTATTTCATTTAAAGTACTACAGGCCAAATAAAATATGTATGTTGTATTATTTTGGTAGTAGTACTGTATAACAGCATACGTCATGGGTCATGTGGGTGGTTTATCGATGTCAAGACACCGCTGACTTCATCTACAGACACTTGGAGTTCAAGTCGTTGTTCAAGCCAACTTGATTTATGCGCAACGAGGCGGCAATAATGAATTATTTATGCCGATTTACGGCTGGCATCAGGTCTGCATGTCAATTGGCAAAAACACACACTATTGTTGCCATTGCCAGCCGTGAAGGCGTCGAGGCGGAGGCAGAGACGGAGAAGGGAGACGGAGACGGCGTTGGTGATATGGGGGCCAGGGGCAAGTCAAGCCTGACGTTGTTGCAGCGCCGACGACGACTTCATATAGTTGACAGCGCCTCTGGCTCCCTGGCTCTGGTTCGTTAGTTGGTTGGGTTGGTTGGTTGGTTTGACTTCTGACGGGCACAAAAACCATTTAAGCCACAATGCAGTCAAGTGGTTAAAATGTGTTAGGCGGCAATGCATCCATTCGAGCTGTGCACAGGAAATTTCAGGCAAGCGTCTGAGCCCCACTCGGAGTCGGGGTCCGACTGGGAGGGTGGGACTTTTCCAATGCATGTGTGTGTATGTGTGTTTGTGTGGGTTTCGGCCTCGGGTTTTTGTTCTGTTGTGCTTTCAGTTTTTGAAAGGAAGGA